AATTGGAAAAGATTGGTTGAATAAAAACAGTGTCAAAAAGGAGAAAAGTTAGAAAGAAAAGTTAGAAAGAAAAGTCAAGAGAAATGAGTGGAAGGAAGGAAGGAAGGAAGGAAGGAAGGAAGGAAGGAAGGAAGGAAGGAAGGAAGGAAGGAAGGAAAATGAGTGGAAGGAAGGAAGGAAGGAAGGAAGGAAGGAAGGAAGGAAGGAAGGGAAGAAAGGAAGGAAAATGAGTGGAAGGAAGGTAGAAAAGAAGGAAGGAAGAGAAATGAGAGGAAGGAAGGAAGAGAAATGAGAGGAAGGAAGGAAGGAAGGAAGGAAGGGAAGGAAGGAAGGAAGGAAGGAAGGAAGGAAGGAAGGAAGAAGAGAACTGTGGAAGGAAGGAAGGAAGGAAGGAAGGAAGGAAGGAAGGAAGGAAGGAAGAGAAATGAGTGGAAGGAAGGAAGGAAGGAGATACATACACAAACTGCAAGCTAACAACATAAAGATCAAAAGCAAAAAGAACGAAGAAAATAAGCATGAAAGGTTTCAATTTAATAATGTCAATCTCGTGAAAGAATAGAAAAATGAAGAAATATTTGAATGAAAAAGTCGTAATAAGGAAGGAAAGTGAATGAAGTTAGACATCTTATAAAAGAGAAATGGAGAAAGCAAAGTAAAATGAAATAAAAGCCATTAGTAAAAAAAGACTCGTCATGACAGAGAAAGAAGCAAATCACAGAAAAAAAATGGTTAAATCTAAGGAATAGGAAAATTAAAACAGAAATGAAAGAAAAAAATCTTGAATTTGATTTGAAGACTACAAAAGAAATAGAAAAAGGAAAAAATGTTTCCATGAAGACTGAAAGAAAGATGAAAAATATCTGTCTATATTTCTGAGATGAGTTACTGAAATTATTTACACTATTTACATTGTTGTCCTCAACTTTGTTGTCATATAATAAAATAAAGGGTTCGATTTGAAATTCTGATCACGTGAAGCAGTCTGAAGCATACACCAGCCAATCATTGCGAATATGGCAACAAAGATGAGGACAAAACTCTGAACAATATACTGTAAAGAAGATAAGGTTGAAACAAAAAAGTGAAAAGGAAATTAATGTAAGAATGAATGCAAGAAAGTGAGATTTAATTGTTGCTTTAAAAAGAAAGAAAAATTGCTGTAGAGGTGAAAAATAACTTGGAGAGTTCAGTTAAAGGGAGATAACTGATATTGAGATATCCAGAAGAGGCATGCCACGTGGAACTAGAACACTCTACCCTGGTTAACAAAATAAAAGGTTCAGTTCAAAAAACGAATCACCTGAAGAAGGCCGGTGTATGCGCCAGCCAAAACTTTACAAATATGGCAACAAAGATGAGGACAACAGCCCAAACAATGTAAATAGAGTAAAGATGATAAAGTTGAAAAAAGAAAAATGGAAAAAAAAAAATTAATGAAAGAATGAATAAGGTGAGATTTTTTAATTGCAGCTTTAAAAAGAAAGAAAAATAGGGAAAGAGAATGAATGAAGAAAAATTATGGAAACTCAGAAGTAGGAAAGAATTGATCAAAACATGTACATATATATATATATCCCTCTCAAACACTCTCCCTATTCTTTCTCTCTCTCTCTCTGTATATATATATATATATATATATATATATATATATATATATATATATATTTGTTTATATTTGTTTATTTTTATTTTTTTATATTTATTATATATATATATATATATATATATATAATATTTATTCAAAATTATAACATAAATATGTTGTAAAATTACTACAAAATAGTCATTTTGTTTCAACACTTCTGTGTCTTGTCAAGTGATGGTATTGAAAGGGGAAAATCCTTTATTCTACATTCAACATCATCACTTGATAAGACACCAGAAGTGAAGTGTTGAAAAAAATGACTATTTTTGTAGTGATTTTATAACATACTTATGTTATAATTTTCGAATGAATAATTATATTTGCTCTACTTTGTATTGATATATATATATATATATGTTTGTGTATGTGTATGTGTGTGCATATATATATATGTATATATGTATATATATGTGTATATATATATATATATATATATATATATATATATATATAGACAGAGAGTGACAGAGAGAGACAGACAGACAGAGAGAGAGAGACAGAGAGGAACAGGGAGAGGGAGAGAGATATGTATGTATGTATAGAATGTAATGAATGTGAGTCTGTGTTCAAATATGAAGTGGTGTTTTTCAGACTCCCAAAAACAAACTGATATTGGAATGACTATTTCTCAATGTCCACACCACAATGATGACTCAGAGGGTGGCTTGTTCGAATCCTGCTTGAGGGCAAATTTTCTTTAAGTTATCTTGAGTGTACAGACCAGTAGATGCAATAAATAGTGTTTCAGATAAACAGGGCCTCTACTCAAAAATTGGTATCCACAAAAAAAAAACACAAATTAATTAATAAAAATGTGTTAGATTAAAAATTAAATTCCATCCATTCTTAAAAATTGCTTTGTTTATATTTTGGATACAAAACTGAGTTGATATGCATCATGGGTAAAAATTTGAAGAGTAATTATGTTTTAAATGCAAAACAGAACTGTGCATTATTTTGAAGCCCTTCATGGCTGAGTGGTAAAAGCACAAAGATGTGCCCATTAACAAAATTTTTGAAATATTCAAGCTGATAGATAAAAATAAATATTGCTTAAAATAAACAGAATATCTCCTCAAATATGAGTATCCACTAAAATACTGTTTAAAAAATATATATATATATATATATATATATATATATATATATATATATATATATATATATATATATATAAATAGAAAGAACAGTAAGATTTATATTCCGGTGTTATTAGTAATTACTTTTATTTAAAAAACAGTGCTCGATAAAAAACAGTAGAGCAAAATATATATATATATATATATATAGGGAAAGAAAGAAATTATATATATATATATATATATATATATATATATATATATATATATATATACTTGTATGTTTTCTTTCTATATATAGTTATATATCTGAATATTTATATATATATATATATATATATATATATATATATATATATATATATATATATATATATATATACATACACACACATATATATATATTTATATATAATAGAATACATATTTGAATGCATGCATGCATATATGTATTTCTTCTATTTGCTTTCTTTATATAAATATAAATAAATGCACCTGTGTGAATTCTCAGATAGAAAAAGCTGCCAAAAAGTCAATTATAACTTTTTATATAACCAAACATAGCTCTGAGTATTACATACATCGTCTATATTAATACAAGCATTTGTCTACGTTGCTATTACTGCACGTGCATGTTTGGGCAAGTATTTAGATAATGGTTTTTTTCTTTCCTTTTCACTAGTTTTTCTTCCGCAAGGATGTGATGATGCATACATAAACATGCGCCAAAAATGCTGCTTATATATATATATATATATATATATATATATATATATATATATATAGATACATAGCTAGATAGATCAGCATGGATGTGCCTGTGTAGAGATTGGCTCAGCAAGAAGTCAATTTATTTATAGGCAAGATGAATGGGTATTCGCCAATATATAAAGCATATAAATAAATAAATAGAAACATAAATTTATGCACAAATATCTGTGTGTGCGTTTGCATTTGCCCGAGAAAGAAGGTTGCTAAAAAGTAATTATGTTCTATTGCAAAGTCATATATACAGTTCCTCACAGAAAAAGCTATTTAAAACCATATATAAAATTATATATATATATATATATATATATATATATATATATATATATATATAAATTTATGATTGTGTGCATTTGAGTAGAGGAAGCCAGCCCTGTGAAAAATAAAGCAATATGAGGAAGGGGAAAGTTAATTACCTATCTATTTATACATATATATAGAAACGTGTATGCTCGACATTGCATGTTGCCATACACTTTACATACACATGACATTGGCAATAAGAAATATTGGATATTCATACTTAAATATTTTTCCTCTTCTATCTATTGTCTCTTTTCCTAGCGATGTTCTGAACTTGTCAACACACAACCATGCATAACCACTTGACGACAGAAAATTCATATCACTCTTTATTATTTTTGTCTATTACCCTTCATATAAATATATGAATATATGTGCATAGAATTTCATATATGAATTCATATACAATCTCCTTGTCTTTGTCTCTCTCTCATTCTTCTCTCATTTCACTTTCTCTCTCTCTCTCAATATATATATATATATACATATATATTTATATATATATAGGTAATATTTGATATACTTACAGAAGAGTGCTAATATTAAAGATAGAACATTTATATAGACACTATAGCCATTGTAATCAACACAGTATGTTGATTGCTGAAGCATGAAACTGACAGTCACCATGCAGTGTTAATTCCAATGTTCATATATTTTTATATATATATATATATATATATATATGTATATAAATAAAAAGAAAGAACAGTAAAGATATACAGCTGTGTCTTTAAAACCCAGTAATTTTAAAAGTTACTCCAAAATTGCTTGAGGATGAAATGGAACTAATGTCTTTAATTTAATTGCAAAATTAAATTTTGGCTTTTAGCTTCCATTTTTGAAACATGGTTAGAACTGTGCGAAAAAAAAATATTTTAAATCAATTAATTTTATATATATATATATATATATATATATATATATATATATATATGTACGCATTTAATTGTATGGATGTGAGTTTGCAACCCTAGGTTTCATGCTTTTGTGATTCTCAGTTGAGGGTTACAAACTCACATCCATACAACTAATATGTTAGCTCCATCACTGATATTGAACGCTTTCCAATAAGTATGATATATATATAATATATAAATAATATATATATAAATATATATATATATATATATATATATATATATATATATATATATATATATCTCTCTCTCTCTCTCTCTCTCTCTCTCTCTCTCTCTCTGGCTTATGGCAATATCACATTGAAGCACCAGTTCCTGTACGATTATTGAGGTTAAGCAACACTAGGCCTTGTCAGTTCCTAGATGGGTGACCACATGGGAATACCAGGCACTGTAAGCTTGGTTGGATGGGTGGTGCTTCTTTTTTAGCTTCTGTTTTTGAAACATGGTAATTCCTGTGTAGTGATGGAATCATATTTAAAAAAAAAATAATAATTTTAATCATTGCTCAAAATCTTTTTTAGCTTATCACTGGGTTGTGTTTTTAGACCTATTCCTTTAACTGAACTTGTTTATAGATTTTGAAATTTAAAAAAAACACAACCCAAGTTGAAAAAGTTCAAGTTAAAAAAAACACTTTATGAAGTTGTCAGCAAAAAGCAAATTGTAGTTCAATACGATGTATTCATATACAAACAGCCCTTTTAAAAAAAAACTCTTTATGTATACAAGTACAAATTTAATGGTGAAACAAAAGTGCCAAAAAACTTTCTGTCATTGAAAAAGACCAGACAACATTTATTGAACGGATGTCATCATTTGTTGAAAAGGCACCCCTAACCTACCTTGACTTAACCTCTTTTCGAAAGTAACTAATATGTTGATACAATAGTTGTCAGTGAAAATGAATACCTTACCGCCCCTTATTAAAATCATTGGTTTTCTCCATATCCATAGAAACTAATATTATGAATGTATGTGCTTATAAAGCTCCGTAAATTTCAAAAAAAAGTTATTCCAAAATTCGCTTGAAAATGAAACAAAACTAGGTACTTTAATTTAATTTTTATAATTGAATTGGACGTTTTTAGCTTCTGTTTTTGAAACATGGTAATTCCTGTGTAGTGATGGAATCATATTTAAAAAAAAAATAATTATAATCTCGGCTCTACTTGTGTATCAAGCACTGTCTTTTAAAAATAAAAACAAAAATACTAAAGAACTTCGGATCATCGATCTAACGGTTCTTTCCTATTTTATCAATATATTTGCATATATATATATATATATATATAATTATATATATATTAATGCATGTTTCATTAAATAATATAGACAAGGTTTGTCTATTTATTTTAAGTAAGTTCCTTTCATATTGTCTGATAAGTTTAATCACATAATCGTTGAAAGACCACACCACACCACAAACTCGCTTCCACGGCACTTGACTCTACATTTAAATAATAACTCTAACATTTTTAGACATTTAAAATAACATGCCTGCCCACATACTCAATTGTGGAAAATCCTTGTTGACAACACAACTATACTTAAACATGAAAACAATAAGCAAAAATTAAAAATTCTTAAAGCTTTATACATAAAACAGTTGAAACCTAACTTGAACAAAATAAACTATGAAATCTCCACAAATATCCTTAAATGCCTATCATTTATAACAGAAGCGATTGGTTTATACCAACGGCTTCCCATACTTAATACTTCTCATTTTTCAATTTTGTGTGGTTATGTGTGACGTCACGAGCTGCGATACGATTTTCACTTCCACATCTTGTATATACGAGTTTGTCGTTACTTGAAATTTTCATGCAGCAAGGGTGGACTATCATTGTTGTTTCGCCTGTGTGTTGTTTGATTTATTGAAATTGCCATCTTTGATAATGGCTAGTGTAAGCTGAAAGCTTAGATTAGATTTAAACATGTATCAATATGGCGTTTTCCTTTCGTCTTTCAACAATAATGTGATTAAGCTTAACAGACAAAATGAAAGAAACTTACTTAAAATAAATAGACAAAACTTGTCTATATTATCTAATGAAACATGCATTAATGAAAAATTGCTGCCTAAATATACACAATACATATATATATATATTCGACTCTCCCGTCGAGATTCGATGTATGAGGGTCAAGCAGATCAGTTTCCAGGAACCCGACAGCCTGACACCGGCACATGAGATTCCATTATAGTGGTGAAGGCCTCGTGCATGACCATCCACACTTTTTGAAGGGATGAATACAGAGACCTGGTGCACCGAATGCCACAAGGTTTCCAAACGACTCTCCGCAGGTTTTGAATTCAGAGTTGTCCTTCTCCTAGACCAGTTGCCATCCAAGGCTATAGAACCCAATCTGAACTGCTATTTTACCCATAGCATATATATATATGCAGCATTACTCTATATTCAGCCTAATCTGGTTTTTGTAAAGGTAGGGTTATAGGGACACCATGGCTACTATGGCTAAAGTACATGTAGTGTCCCTATAATCCTAACACTATAGGGTTATAATCCTAATGAGTTATAGGGACACTACATGTAGTGTCTCTATAATCCTAATAAGTTATGGGTGATTGTGATATGTCTAGCCTGTTCTGATCTATCTATCTACCTATCTTTTTACGCTATTTACATTGTTTGGACATCTTGGTTGTCATATTCACGATGGTTCAGCCATTGTACGCACCAGTCTTCGTCAGGTGATATATGTTGGAATTTCGAACTGCTCTTGTACACTGGGGTAGATTGTTCTCGTTCCACATGCCATGCCTCTTGTAGATATCTCAGTTTCACCTATTTCCCTTTATTAACTCAACTTTCCAAGTTTTTGTTCACCTCTGCTGTGGCCAAGTATTGAACTCACAACTCTTTGGGTCTAGTCACTGGATTACTTCAACCAACCACTGGGCCATGTGTCCTTATCTATCTGTCTATGAATTCATCTATCTGTCTGTCTAAATATAATATTCATTTTAGTATAAGAAAATGTACTCATGCTTAAATATATATTTGATATTAATTTATATGCGTACAAACTATTCATAACTCTATGGAAATTGATAATTTCACATCAGTATTTTAATTCGTGGCTACACATGCGCACATATACCTCTGTGTATGTCTGTCTGTGTTTGTGTGTGTGAATATAATTTTCTAGCATATGCTGGTGAAAACAAGAAAGTATTTATATACCTAGGTAAATTAAATTTTTTTTTTTATACATTCATAAATCTTTGCTGAATATAGATATATTCATGCTCCCATTTAAGTATACTTATTTTTACATCTGTACAAATGCAGTCAGGATATTTTCAATGTAAAAAGCTCACATCAGTGTATATATATATATATATATATATATATATGCTTTTCCATTTGACAATATGTATACATAGAAACAGAAAGATAGATATAGATAGCTCCTTGCCTGGCACTTGTATGCACACGCACACAAGTTAACTTTTATTCTGCTATAAACATGAATCCAATTATCCAGTATTCTAACACTCTTACACATGTTCACACATTCGTTTTTCAGCTGATAAAATGTAATAATGCAGTTTTCTTCATATACATAACATATTTATGGCTTATTCAGCCTCATATGCAATAAGAAAATTCTACAAGAGATGAAATCCCTATTGTATCTTTCCACACCCCAAACTTAGAATTGGTATTATGATTGTATTTGCTAATGTCTACTCACAACGCTGATGATAAACTCTTGTTACCTCGCTAAAATTAATTTGGGATTTATCACATACCACTTTCATTCATATTTTTTTTTCCTAATTGCACTTAAAAAATAAATCAATTATATATCAAAATAGTACAGGGAGATAAAAAAAATAACAAGGTCTAGAGATTTATTTACACTATTTACATTTTGATACGTTTCAGCCGTTGTGCCCTCTGGCCTTCATCAGACTGATGGAGGTTGCGGTGGGGCACAATGGCAGAATTAAAAAAATGACAAGTTCTAGAAATTAATTTACACTATTTACATCCAGACTATTGTCCTTGTTGTTGTTCTTAACACAACATTTCGGCTGTTGTGCATCTGGCCTTCATCAGAAGGATGAACGCTGGAGAGTACAATGGCAGAAATGAATAAAAAATAACAAGTTCGAGAAATTCATTTACACTATTTACATTCAAACTATTGTCTTCGTTGTTATTGTTGCTAACACAATGTTTCGACTGTTGTGTTCTCTGGCCCTCATCAGAGGGCACAATGGCTCAAATGAATAAAAAGTAACAAGGTCTAGAGATTTATTTACACTATTTATATTCGAACTATTGTCCTCATCTTTGTTGTTATCATCACAACGTCCCAACCAGATCGTCTCCAGTACAAAAGGTGAATCATTGTGATAACCGCAACAAAGATGACGACAATAGCTCAAATGTAAATAGTGTGGATAATGACAACACCTCATCCCAGAAATTCTGAAAAATCTAGAAATTTATTTAGCTTCCTGAAAATTTTATTCAGCTAATCTATTATATTTTGATTACAGGGATCTGTTCTTCTCTGTTAAATAACAATGATTCAAATCTTTAAAGAGTCAAGTTAGGTGAAAGAAAAGAAAAGAAATGCTCTGAATCCAGTAAATAAAATAAATATGCCTTGAGTTTTCCCAATTAAATATATCAGATAAGATCCTAACCTTTGCAAACCGCCACATAATCAAAGCAAGTGAAAATGGTATTTATTGACAGATAGAATGAAATCTCACCAGGATTCAATAATATATTTATAACATATAAGTGCAAATGCAGTTTTGGCTTCTACTTACCTTTATTTATATAAATATATCTCTGTGTGTGTGCACTTGGAAGGTTTTGCATAACGTCCCTAATATATTTATATCGATAAATATAGATGGAGAGCTGGAAGAAAAGTTGAAATAGAGTAAGGATGCATTACATCCATGCTTGGAATGGAGTTAACATAATCCAAGTACATTTATTTATTTATCTAAATACCAGAGCACAGGTCCTAAGCTATAAGCAATAATCTCCATATCATTGAAAGATATTTGTGCATGCAGACACACACACACACACATATATATAATTGACAAGATGAAAGGACTGCGGACTAAATAATGCTTTTATTCATGGAATCATATATATGTAGAGGGAGGAAGCAAATATAGAAACAAATGTTGGTTATAATTAACATCCAGAGATGTGAGGATTTCTATTAATTTTGTCAATCAGTTACCCATCTTTAGTCTTATATATAGAATTATAGAATTCATATATATATATATATATATGAATCTGACTAATGCTTTTATCCACTGTGCCATGTAATAAATTATAATCATGGAATATTAGCATTTGAGCTTTTTATTTTATATATATATATA